AACATCATTGTTCTTCCAAAAAGTAATGGCTTGTTTCTAAAAATCAACAAGCAGGAATAAGAAGAGTTTGAAAACTAAAACTGCAAACACGTAGGCTGCACCCTGAGCTGCCCCTGTGTCTGTCTGGCTAGTTTTAGGATAACTAAGGGGCTATAGACGTCAGCAACTATCTATTCATGTATGTGCGCTCAGCTCCAACATAAGAGGTTACACTATATAACAAATGAATATAGTAATTCCAACTGAATTATGAAAATTACATCTGGCAGGCACTGCACGTTACCATAGAATACGCTGGATTGGGGGTGTCTATCAGTTGTATTAGGTCTATTCAGAAACATGATAGACCCACCAATTTGCAATATGTGATGGGCTGCGAAGGAGACCTTGGAAGACGGGGCAAGAGATGCCACCTGGGGAACGATCAGGTAAAAGAGAAAGGAGTCCGCAGCAGAGTAATGGCCAGAAAAAGAAACTTAGGAAGGACCCACCCTAACTACTCAGGGGATAAATAGGGAGGGTGGGAGACTTGCAAGATTCTGTTAATGTAGTCGTCCAATAAAGTAGAAGTAGCTCATCTAATCACGCTTCCTGTCCAGTCCACGTAGGAGGGCTCATACAATAAGTCCTTTCTGAAATCTTGCTATACAGCAGATGCAATTCATCAGGGAATTATGATGAATAATTGTCTTATTTCAGAGCCGCATGGACGTGTATGTAGCACATTCTCCTGCTGGAACATCTGTAAAAAATCTTGTTCATTGGTCTCAGGTATGTTATTGTTTTTTTAAAAGATTATTGTATTTGGTCATTATGGATTGGATCCAGATCTAACCATACTTCGAAGAGATCTGTTAGTCAGTGATTTACTGGATATGGGCTTCTTCTAATTATGACTCACTCTAGATCCAGAGGAGCTATGTGTGAATTTATTAAATATTTCTACCACTAGTTGCTGATAATCATAATTAAAATAGAACCTAATGAAATATATGCATGTACACACACACACACACACACACACACACACCATTATACAAGCAGTACTATATACAAATAGAACCAGTTAGACTTACTTAAAAAACCCACCAAACAAATATATTTACTGTATGTATATAACTTATAAATTGCCTTATTATATTAAAATTATACCCAAGGTGAACCATTCATGATCATCAAGTGACAGAAAGAGAAAACAAATTGAATGTCTGAAACTATACGATCCACAGAGGCATTTAAGATTGTAGGTTTTAAAAAATCTGATAAAACAGTTAGAAATATTACTGACTCATTTAAAGCAAAACATCTGGCTAAGAACAAGGGCACTGGATCAGAGAAGGCAATCTTAGACTTTGGAGATACCTAAGCCACAGTTACACAAAACTGCCTCCAAAGTTTTGGATAATAATCTGCAACTTCTAATATCTAGAACTACATTTAGCTCATGCAGTGTATGGTTTTAGCGTACAGCTTTTCTGCCTATGCTGCGATCTTTGTTGGTTATACTGAAATACAGCGCTTTCTACAAAAAGCGTATCTAAAGGTTTTTTTAAAAGAAAACTTTCTAAATTTTCTTTTGGAAAGTTATAAAAAACTAAATCTAATATTTCTATTGAAATAATTGTAGCAATAAATTGGAAAGACTGAGATAATCACGCGATCTGTTACAGGCCTGTTACAATTGCTGAAGTAGGTACTGGAACTACCTGAATTACACTGTGGTTTATCTCTGAGCTAAGCTCTTGAATACTTTAGTTGCATTCGAATAAATTGTCCTTGGGGGCGTGGGTGAGGTTGAAGCATGGGTAATGTTGCTTTGATACATCTTTGCTTCTTTGATTGATTGATTAATTGATTGATATAGCCGCCCATCTCACATATGTGTCTCTAGGGGGCTTACAGTAAAATAAACAAAATATAAAGAATAAAACACATAGCATCTAGGCATCATCCAAATAATTATCAACACAGCCAGGAGATGGGCTGTGTCTCACACCCAGGGCCACAGGCTGGAACACCAAACCAAGTTTTCAAAGTCTTACCTCTGGGGGGATGATGTTCCAAAGGGCGGGCGCCAAGGCAGAAAAGGTTCTCCTTCTCAGCCTCCTCCAGCCAACGCTTCTTGGCTGATGGTACCTGGAGCATGCCCCTCCTGCTGGAGCAGGTAGGACAGGTAGAGACAACTGGGGAGAGATGGTCCCATAAGTATCCTGTCCTGAGCTATGGAGAGATTTAAAGGTGACAACCAGTATGTTCAATTGACCCTGGAAGCACACCGGAAGCCAATGCAGCTTGCAGAGCAGTGGTGTCACATTGATATCAATATGACTAGTAATACTTTTGCTCAGTTCTGTAATGACACACTATTAATTATAGGTCTATCATAAAAACCGGTTTCAAGCATATGACTATGGCACCAAGGAAAAGAATATGGAGAAGTACAACCAGGTATGAGAATAAAACAGTTTTCCTGTAAAATACTTACACTATTCCCCATTTGTAACTTTGAGATCAGAATGGTTTCCCTGACAGATGTGTAGAGATATTGGATTTTTCTGTATTCTTGTTCCAAATTTTGCAGGCTGAGGTGGAGCAGAGTAAGAAAAGCTTAATTAAAGTGATAGTAAATGTAGAGACATCTTTCTTGCCCTCCCTGCTCTGAAGACAGTTGACACCTGACCCTACGTCTGACTGCCTTTCCCTCCCAGCCAAGCCATTTACATCAGCAACTGCTTCCAGTGACTAATTTAAGCCATATGTTCTCTTCTGGGCCAGTGGCAGAATGTCCTACCCTTTCTGGGGATCTGAGTTGATCAGCTATACGTTGGAGGCAAACATCCATGGGAATCATCAGAAATTCCTTGGCTGAGTTAAAAACCACCACAAATCTCTGGTTTAGTGTTTGCACTGAGTAGGAAGTCCTATTACTTTACTTGCTCATTGACTTTTTTAAAGTGGTAATTTGAAATGTTTTATATATTGCTCTATGTCTCCCTCAGCACTTTTGGGCTGATTATTCAGTTTTGCTGCTTTTCTTCCCAGGTGACTCCTCCTATATACAAGATAGAAGATATAAAAATACCCATTGCTCTCTGGACTGGTGGGGAAGACTTATTTGTGAACTCAAGAGATTTCAAGGCATTAAAACTACAAATTAGTAACCTCATTTATCATCAACATATTCCTGAATGGCAACATCTAGACTACATTTGGGGACTCGATGCAACTGAACGTATGTACATGGATATCATTAAGATAATGAAAAGATATCAATAATTCCTTCTCACACAGAAAGCATGCTGTGTGATGACAATTTGAGAACACACCCTGAGGCTGCTTTGACGTCTTAATGCAGCTGAGCTGATGAATTACATGATGAAGAAACATTTGCA